AGAATAAATTACTAAAGCAGCCAACGCCTAACTCATATCGAATTACCTCTTTTTTGTCTAACTGCGGAATCTGGTTTGGTCATGAGAGCAATTCCATTGCAAACAATTGCTGTATCTTCAACAAAGCCACATTCTGGTAAGATTCATCTGCAGGAAGCTCAATAACATCTAAATATAATTCACGTAAAAGTTTTACAAAAGCTTCGTGTTGTTTTCTGGCTTCTTCAATATTTATTTTAGACTTAGTTTCTAATGATGTGGGTATTCTACAAACAACAGCATGTGTATATTTCAACAATTGCAAAGCCGAATAAACAGACATTTTCGACTAATTAAATATACACTTAACGGCACTAAATAAAAAATATAAACGCTGAATATAACCAACACAAATAACTGTCAACTATCTGTCATTTGTAAAACTTGCCGAAACTAGTGCGGTCTGAAGTAGTACCTTTTGACAAAGTGCCAACTAAAATATATAAAATCGTTTTGCAACCGTTAACCACAAAAAATTCAAATATAAAATTTTATGTGAAAACTTCCCAAAACCAGTTTAATTTGATATGACTGATATAATATAAATACTTTTGTAAATAACTAATTTTATTACGTTTTTACATCCATACACAAACATTATTTTTAATTATAAAATATTATTCATATCGAAAAGGACTAATTAAAACATTGTTAAAAGATATAACGTCGCCAGTCCTCTTTAATCATTGCAGCAGCTTTTCTGCTATCATTATCGTTGGTCCATTCAGATTTGAACTAACAATTTTGGCATAATACTTGCATCTACAACCCGCAAGCCTTTCATTTTATGCACCTTTAATCTTGCATCTACTACAGATGATTTATCATTTAATGGACCCATTTTTGAAGTACCTGCAGGATGATATTCTGTTGTTGCAAAGTTTCTGATAAAACATTTCCAGTAATTTTCTTTAAATAATGTAAAATTATTACAATTCTGAATATTCAAGTTAACAAATTCCGCACCTAAATTTTTTAAAGCTTCAGTACTAATGAATTTTTTCAATAAATTTTATAGCGTTTAATCCAATTTTAAGGTCGTCAGGATCGTTCAGGTAGTTTGGGTATATTTTGGGATGTTGCGTAGGATTTTTGCTGGCTAGTTTTATGTATCCGGAAGATTTTGGATGCAATATACTGGCCATAAATAATACAATATCACCCATTCATTGGCTTCTATTAGAGAATTCCGAGTTTCATTTAAATAACCAAAATCTTTTGATTGTGGGCAATCCACTTGTGTCTAACTTGGGCATGAGCACAAAATGGAATTGAGTATTTGGGTAAAGAGAGTTGGGATCGTCGGTATTAATAAAAGCTGCAATATTTGTTATATCAAAACCTGCCATAGGACCATCATGATCCATAAAATATTGAAATATTACTTTAGCATTCTCTTTGGGAGAGACGTATTGATTTGATCTTCTTAGTAAAACCCAAATCGGTATGAACATATGATCTTGTAAATTAAGACCAACTGGTAAATCTGCGACAAGAGGAATATTTAGTTGATTCAAATTGTTTAGGACCGATACCACTCAGCATCAAAAGCTGGGGTGTATTAATACTACCCGCACTACATATAACTTCCTTTGTACTCCATGCTGTATATTTTTTATTTTTTCGTGTAAATTGTACTCCGATTGCCCAATTACTTTGCTTGTTTATAATTATTTTTGTAACTAAAGCATGTTTAATAACATGCAAATTACTTTGTTTATGAGTAAGAAACGCTTTAGCTGAACTGCATCTTGTTCCCGTGATCTAGAGTACCTTGTAAAGTTGTTATGCCAATCTTAGTATCTGAATTCGGATCGACAATATAATTCAAACCTAATTCTCCAGCTGCTTGTATTAGTGCTTTTTTTAAATCTGAATTAGAATCAAAGTAATTATCAATTTTTATTTGCCACCTGTGCTGTGGTAATATCCATCATTATCTTGTTCCAGAACTTGGGGTGCTCGCATATCTTCTGAATACTTAAAAAATGGCAAAACATCTTCAAAACTCCATCCTTCATTTCCAGCTGCCGCCCAAGAATCATAATCTTTTCTATTTCCTCTCAAATAAACCATTCCATTAATTGCGGATGATCCGCCCAAGGTTTTTCCTCTTGGCCAATAGCATCGGCGATTTTTAAAACCTAAGCAATAATTGTCGCTTGGTTCGGTGTAATAACCCCAATCAATTTCTGTTTTTTGATTATGAAAAAACAATTTCGGTATCTAGAACATAAAAATGGTATAATAAATTTTCTAAATAGTGAAATATATAAAGAGCAATAGTTTAAAAAAAACTTCTATATTATTAGACACGCCTAAACGTCCAATTTAAATATATCTCTAAAGTATAATTTCCAATGAATTAATTTAAAATTATAGTTACTTTGGAGATAGTCACATAAGGTTTTATGTGAAACTTTGCATCGATTGTATCAGAGTCCAATAAACCTAAATTACCTAAAAATAAACTTATTATTTTCAAAATCATCTAAATTTCTAAATCTAACCAGTGTAAATGGTATTTTAAAAAAATTAAACCATACATTTTTATTGACTATTTTATATTTATCAGCTCAAAGTACAAAAATTCAAATGTTAGGTGGACAACAAGTATTAATAACAATTTACAAAAAAAGGACAAGTTTAAATGTATAAGAACAATTGACATGCGTAATTTGGTATAATTTTAATTAAATTTATTCATAAATAAACTACAAATCCATTAAACATTGCAAATAAAATAGTTTAGGAATTTTATAATACGTTTCCAAAACTTACTTCTGTAGTTATAGGCGGGTCACCCCCAGCCTCAATTAATAAAATTTGCCAACTTGTATTTTCTGCTAACCGATGGGCTAATGCAGAACCTGCTGATCCAGCACCTATCACTATGAAATCGTATGCTGCGAAATCTGCAAAATTAAACGAATTTTAAATTAATCATAAAAAATTGATAAAATCATGCATTTTTTTCGAAAACTATATATAATAGTTTTTCCAATCATTTAAAATGAAAACAAAGGATAATATTTATTCTGATTGACTATATTACTAAGTATACTAAGAAAAAATGCCAAGCTTTGTAAATATATGCATACAAATAATAAATTTAATAATTCATTTTCACCTGAATTCAATTCCTCGCCTTCATCCCTAGGCCATGCAGATGTTAAATTACATGGAGTAGCCATAACGGTTTGTAATAGCATAGTAAAAAGTTGACCAGCGGCCCCCGTCGCGGTATTCGCCGGACAATACATAGCATTATTCATTTTCCCAACTTTTACACAAACTTTTAATTAGAAGATTTTCTCAATTTAGGAATATGAATGTTTTATGAAATATGTTAGAATATGTGGCATTGATTTAATATAAAAGTGATACGGTACTATTCATTTTAACGTAGATAAACAAACAAATTGTATAAATTTATGAAGATGCAAAAATAGTTTTTATTTAACTGATGATTTTCTCTTCGTATTATCCCTTGTTACATTTCTAAAAATCATATGTACAAATGTATATGGAAATTATATTGTGACGAACTTTATCAACGTTTTCTATAATTTTTCTATATGTACAAATTTTTTGATTATTTTTCACCATAAATTCTCACTGAATACACAAAAATTACTGCGCTAAAACCACCATGTTGCATGTTTATATTTGTTCGGGTTCACCGTCTAAATATTTTTTACTTTTATTTCATATTTCATCCTTGTTGAGCGTCATGAACCCGTTATAATTGCAATGCGAAATGCAATATATGATAACCAAAAAAGCGGATTGTTACAGTTATTCACCTAAAATATCATCGATGGCCAATTTTACTCACAAAAATTTAATTTTTTTCTGCATTATCGTTCTTTAAAAGTTTGAACGTAGATATATATATATAATATATATATATATATTTAATATACTTATACACAGAATTTAATTAAAAAACGCTTACTCGGGATTTTCAAATAACGAGTTTGGGTCTTAGCAGAGCGTTTTACATTAAAAAAATTATGAGATAGTATATTTATAGAAAATATTCAAAATATCGAAATGGCATTCAAATGGCATACTATCTCATATTTTTTTAATGTTAAACGTTCTGCTAAAAGCCAAACTCGTTATTTGAAAATCCCGATTTTGAATTACTATAGTGAATGATCGCACTTCGGAAATCAAAATCACTAATTTGAAACGCGAATCACGCACATAAATAAAATTTGGAATATAAAATAATATACTTAAATTAATGTTAAACAATATATAGAAAACCATAATTTTTTTTAGATTAAAATAAATCAATCATTCTTCTTGAATTTTGTATTACTATAAGTTCACTCCTAGCCCAAATGAAATAAAATGATTTAATAGATCTGTCTATTTATTTTCTTGTGGCATATAATATACTTGATAAAATGATATATTTTCTAAAATAAGTTACTATTAAAGCATGATGAGAAAATGATAAATATCTTAGATTCTTAGATTAAAGATATTATGTATGAATAAATAAAATGCTATCAGTGGAATTTAAACCCCCTTGCCATCAAGCAAACATTTTTTTGTATGTTTTCCTTCTAAAACGATTGTACACAATGGTTATAATTGAAAATTATCAGGGCAATCGCAAAACAGCGTTGTTTTTACTAGTTCACAATAATCAAAATGCATAGTGTACAGAAGTATAAAGAATCATACCAAACGATCACCACGGTCAGCGGTTCTATCAGATACCTAAACTTCCAGCATTTTTTGCAATGTTTTTCCATTAAAATCTGTAATTGCTTTTACAAATCCAAAAGAAGCTGGGCTTTATGGCGCCCCTGCTGTTCAAAAGTACACAAAACAGTACACAATAAAAATTATATAGATACTCATAAACATTCAAACTTGTGAAAGAATAATTTAAATTATTTCACTCTGTATTCAAATACATGTTACTTGCAACAAATAATAAACAATACAATGTATATACAGAGATAGAAACAAATATAAATTCTATTTCAAATATATAAACAAAGAAGATTTCATAATTTTCAATTTACATTATAAGCAATGATTAATACAGAGAGCAATAATCGAACAACAATCCTTTTGAAACTTCTTGAGCCTTCTCTCGGCCACTTATTTGTTCCACAAGCACGATTGCAAAATTTATTGCTGTAGCCGGCCCTTGACTTGTTATAATGTTGCCATCGACAACTACCTTTTGATCATCGACATATGTGTAGCAACCATCTTTGACCATTTCACTTTTCATTGATGGGTAGGAAGTAACTCTTTTTTTTAAGCCAATTTTATGAGCTTTCAAAGCAGTTGGTGCTTGAAAAAAAAATCTTTTACAATATTGCAATTAAAATCGGAAACAAGAAATGAATGCTTCAATGTATTCTTAAATATAAAGTAGTAATTAATTTTTCATATAATAAGATTAATTAGTATAAAACTATTACCTGCACATATTGCAGCAACAATGCGCCCACACTTCTCTTGTGCTTTCAATAATTCACCCAATTCTTCTGATTGACAGAATGCTTTTGAGCCATCTAGACCCCCAGGAAGCACTATAGCATCGTAAGGTCCTTTTGCATCAGCCAGACCAATATCAGGAGATATTACACTATCACTTCTGCATTTTACTGGCTTATTTCCACACAACCCAGCTAAATGAACTGTAATCTAGATAGTAATAATAATAAAAAATAATTAACAAAATATTGTTATAAAGAATAAAATAAATTTTAATATAATATTTAATAACAGAGAATAATGAATAAAGCCATTAAAACAGCATATAATTTTCCACATCTAACACCCACCAAATACTTACAGAGAGAAACAAATAATCATTCACTAAATAACATAATTAAAATAGAGAAATGCAAACTAAAACACAAAATGAAATTTAACCGAATTAAAACAAGTGCAACAATAGACATAAATCAAGATATACATGAACACTACACGATACAACACAACCATTTTCACATTGAACACAATAGAAAGAAGAATTTTAGAGAAAATGTCATATGGTACTAGCAAAATATATAACGAATTGCCAAACGATATTAAGATGACCAATGATGACGATAAATTTAAAAGAAAAATAAAGAAATACTATAGGGAAATTGAAGACAAAGAAGACTGAAGAGCTATATATAAGGATAGAGATATTTTAATTATAATAGATATTATATTAATGAAATAGATATTATATTAATGAAATAGATATTATAGTCAAATGAAATGTATATATAAAATATGAAAACTGTTTTTCATAATCTCTCATACCAGGCACCTCTGTCTGACTGGGATATGAAAATAATGTATGTGTATATATATATATATATATACATAAATAAAAAAAAAAATATATATATATATATATATATATATATAATCGTGTTGCTATCAAAAGATAATACTGTGTTTGCCAAATTAACATGAATAGAAGAACATTTATTCATCGACCTGCACAAATTACAAAAAAAGTATCAATTCGATAATGTGAAAAAAGGAAGTCGTGTTAGTTAAAAATTATAATTTCAATAACCTTATTGACCTTGACCTAACCTAACTTGATCAGAATTTAGATTACACTTTTCATAATAAATTCAAAGTTAATATGAGGAAAAATGTTTATAAAAATTTTAATATAAAAAGGCTATATATGATAAATGCTATATTTTTTAAGATTAGTCTTTTATCTTAATAGTATTTTTATCTTAATATTAATAAATTCAAGAAGTCTTGTCGCTATGTTGAAAGTTATGATAGTACAGTAGAACCTTATGATAGATACTTCTCTTTATCTATGAGTAGAACCTCAATTATCATAACTAGTTGTTGTCGATAGGCATGCGAATAATCAAAAATCCGGATAATCCAATATCCAATAAGAATAATGATCTGTAATCATCAAAAATAACAAATACATAATTCAATGTGTAATAAGAAATTAACATTACCTTATGTATGTACATAATAATTTTCTTAGCAATCGCTAAATTATTTGCAAATAGGTATAATTGAGGTCCAGATAATTGAAGTTCTACTGTATTACAAAATGTTATATATTATACAAAGTTATGAAATGTTATATTAGGTTGTCAAATATCTCCCTTCCGCTTTTTTGCTATTGATTTATAATACAAAAAGGCGGAAGGGAGATATTTGACAACCATTATACATAGTTATAAAATGTAAATATTGTTGCTTGGACGTATGACACAAAAATGAGGAAAGTGTAATAAATAATATAGAATGATAGATTATAAATAATAAAAATTAATTACTCCGCCTCTCCTGAGAACATCAACTGCTGTTATACATTCCATTTCCTCTGTTCCTTTTGCGATTAAAATTAGCGCAGATTTTGGATTATCCTGAGTAGCCATACCTGCTGATGGATCTGTAGACGATTTGCAACTGGCCGACGGCTTGCAACTACTCGGCGATTGTTTCGCCGGCTGCGACATTCTTCTCAAGCCGGTTGTCAAAAGAGATAACATATGTAATTAATTAAATTAAAACAAAAGCTACAAGTTTTATTATGACATTTGTGTTTAAATTTTCATTTGCTGTCACCACTATCTCTATAATTATATAACTTAAGTTATATATGAAAACAAATCCGCATTTGTAATATTTACTTTTTGTGGACAGGGATTATAAACCTTTTTAATGATAATTTCTCCTAGCAATAGCTGTTGTGTGTTTTGTTTAGTGTTGGAATCTTTTTCAACAATTAAATTAAAAATTAAAAAAACTAGTGGTGCATGGCATCGTGCCTGCTAAGGCAAATTCCTGGAACTTTCCGTACCAGAATTAAATATTCGAGAAAAAAAATCAGTAATCAATAAATTTTGATCAATGATTATATATAAAATATATATATATATATATATATAAGCTATATATAAGTTATATAATATATATAACTTATATATAAAATCAAATCTACATGGTATAGTTAATTTTGTTGATAGGGACCTTTTCAATAAATTCTAGCAAGTAGTAATAGCTGTTGTATGTTTCCTTTGGTGTTGGAATCTTTATCAACAATTTGCATTAAAAACTAGTGGTGCATGGCATCGTGCCTTAAGGAGTTAGGGGTACTTGGAGGCACGAAAAAATGATAGTTTTTTCTGATTATGGATTCAATCTTGAACTACACATCTTAAAAGTAATTTAACATTGCTGAGATCGTCGTAAATCGGTTTAAAAGATTTTCTATACATTACAAAACTCAACAAGTAATCATCGGATCAACTTGAAATTTTCAGAGAACATTTTCAGAGAACATTTTCTATATATTACACTTAATGAAAATGCAAAAAAATAAAATTCGATTTTTCAAAAATTCCAAGTACCCCTAACCCCGTAAGGCAAATTTCTGGAACTTTCCGTACCACAATTAAATATTCAAGGACAAAAATCAGTAATCAATAAATTTTGATCAATGATTAATAACAATAAGGTACTGATTTTTAAAGCGCATATATTTAATTCTTATATTTTAAATGGAATAAAATACTCGGAGTCAAACAACTAAAGCTAACTTAAATGACATACAGAGGATAGTAAACAAAGCTATAAATATATCATATTTTCCACATTTAACACCTACCAAATACTTACAAACAAAAACCAATATTCATTCACTAAACAGCATAATTAAAATAGAGAAATGCAAATTAATATACAAAATGAAATATAACAAAATTAAAACAAGTACAACAAACACTACACTAGACAACACGAAAAATTTTACATTGAACATAATAAAAAGAAGAAATTAAGAGAATATGTGATACAGTAAAGTAAAATATATAATGAACTGCCAATAGATATTAAGAATACCATCGACAATAATTTCAAAAGGAAAATAAAGAAATATTATAAAGAAATTGAAGATTGAATAGATATTTAAAGATATTTTAATTATAATAAATATTATATTGTATAATAAAATAGACAAATGATACGTATATATAAAATATGAAAATTGTTTCAAAACCTCTCATACCAGACTGACAGATATAAAATTAATATATAAATAAATGAAAAAAAAAGATAATTTATCAAAAGTAGTAATTGCTGTTGTGTGTTTTCTTATAGTATTGGAATCATTTTCAATAATTTTCATTAATAAAATAAAAGCATACATGAATATATAATATATTCTATTATTGTCTAAGCATAAAATCTCTGTGAAAACGCAATTTTCGATCACTTTTGCTGGTAGGGGTCTTCCATAAATTACGTGATCTAGTTTTTAGGGATTTTTGGACCCCCCCTCCTTGGTAATGCATCGTTATATTTAGAAATACCCCCCTTCCCCCACCAAACATCACGTGTATTTTCAGATACGTAAAAAATTTCCAACGAATTTTTCGAATTTACGAAAAAACGTATTTTTTTTTTTTTTTTTGAAAATTTAGGTAAAAAAATAAATGCACTTGATATCTTACTAGACCCCTTCCTCCTCTACGTTATTGAATGCAGAATGAATATCTTTAAATATCAATTTATATTTTTATTTGCAAAATCTTTAACAGTAGCATTAAGGTTATATGGTTATATTATTATTTGCAATATCTTTTGCTGTATTTGTAGTAACTGAGATTAATTTGTATGAAAACCGCTTTAATATTTCAAGAGCGAGGTTCAACTTTTTAACCGAAACGTTTTCAAACAATTATAAATTACCCTGTGGTGTTTTACCTTCACAGGTTATCTTTACTTTTCCCATAGAAAGAAAACTTTTCAAACTTTACTCACATTAAAATTCAATAATAGGTGTTACTACCCTGATGTTACTCTGACTATTATTTTGTTATTGTTGTCATGTCATTTCATACAGTTTACGTTACACCATGTAATTAAATTAATTCTTTGTAAAATACTTAATGTATTATTCTAATTAATAAGAATTTTATTCAATAATAAATTATTCAGTTTCTTTTGAATTGATTGTTATGGATTTATTAAAATAGTTTTCATCTAACCTATTTTTATTCTGTCGATTATCTTGTATGATTCTAATTGGAATTTGTACTTTGTACATGTTGTTTAATGAAAAGTGTATAAAATATTGTCGATCTTAAAGAAAAGAATAAAAATAAATATGACTTTAAAACTATATTACGATTTAATGTCTCAGCCATCTAGAGCACTTTATATATTTTGCAAGTTGCAAAAATTCCATTTGAAAGTTGTCCTGTAGCTCTGAGAAATGGTATTTATAATTTTTTATATTAAAATATTATCTAATTCAATGTTATACATGTATACATACATATATATATATATATATATATATATATATGTATATAACAAAGAAATCTATAAACATAATTATCAATAATTATTCTGTTATAGGTGCTCATTATACACCAGAGTTTGAAAAAATTAATCGATTTAAAAAGGTTCCTTGTATTGAAGATGGCAATTTTAAACTATCCGAAAGGTAGAAATTTAAAACTAATTATTATTAAAATCTTATTATCACTATTGCTAGTCGTTATTATTAATTTGTAAAACATCATTTATTAAATTTATCTGATATTTTTAAGCATAGCGATAGTTCGATACTTGGCTAAGACTCGAACAATTGCTGAGCATTGGTATCCTCAAGAATTTCATGAGCAAGCTTTGGTTGATGAATTTTTAGAATGGCAACATATTGGCTTGCGTTTACACTGTGCAATGTACTTTCAAATTAAGGTAGTAATCAATATTTGAAGGAATATTTTTTAGTTGTATGAATTCCGCATTCATAATGAATGTGCAATATATATATATATATATATATATATATATATATATATACAAATACATTCCACAAAGCACAATAAGAGAATATATTTAAAATTGGAAACTAAATTAAATAATTCTATTATAGTGGTTGATTCCTATAATGTCAGGAAGAGAACCCAAGCCAGAGAAGATTCAAGAATTTCAGAAAAGAATGGATGATGCTCTGGACTTAATGGAAATGTTTGGTTAAAGAATGGTCAATACCTTACAGGCAATAAAATAACCGTTGCCGATATTTTAGCTGCTTGCGAAATTGAGCAACCGAGTAATTACAATTTTACATGACTTATATTGCATATAGAAAACGAAATAATTTATTTGATTTATTTAATTTAGCAATGGCTGGATATCATCCAATAGAAGGAAGACCCAAATTGAAATTATGGCTTGAAAGAGTTCGCAAAGATTTGCATCCTTATTATGATGAAGCACATAAAATTGTATATAAAATTGCAAAACGAGGAGGAAAAAGACCAGAAAATTTATCACAACTTTAGTGAATTCTCACAATAAATTGCCATTAGGTCTTAAAGGTTTACTTAAAATATTTGAACAGATTTCTAAAGTATATTAATTTTATTTAAATAATATTTTGCTATTTTTACAAATAATTTGTTTTAAATTGCAGCAGATCTGCAAACTATAATTTGTTAATAATTGTGTATAAAGTAAATATATTTATATTAGTAAACCATTTTTATATGTTTGTATATATAAAATTGTGTATAATTTTTAGTAGGAACGGGGACACAGCTATATATTATAATTAGGGTTATGAATACACATAAAGCTTAATGACTAAACTTTAGTCTATATATAGAGTAATAAATATATATTTGTATTTAAAGTTTATGACAATATCTTTCATTCTAGGATCTTTATAAAGATATATATTCCATGAACCTGGAAGTATAAGATACAATTGTTTTCAATACATTAATGTATAGTTTGTCAGTCAAAAATTGCAACTGCACTCAAATATGCTAATTATGCATAGATGTGTTTTGGAACAAGGTTCAAATTTTATTATTATTTTTATGGAATGTATTTCTATCCCCAATTAATCATACAAGTACCAAGCAAAATATGAATTCAGAGATTTTATTAAAAATAAATTATTATAATACCATAATAATATTATATTATAAATAATATTGTCTAGGATAATACCTTTCATACATTAGAGTACAAACCTGTCATGTTTAGGGTTGGAAGGACATTAACTTTCAGATTTGTCTTTGAATTTCGTGACAATAATTTTCGACTTTACAAATATCTGTAAGGTGCACGTCGCACACAATGCGATTTTTGCCACAAACCATAAAGTGTTAGGTTATCCATTAAAAGATTATTTTCCCTCTGCACCCAAATTGAAAACATCTAGAACATTTTTATTATAAATATTCATTATTTTACATTATAAATATGCCATTGTATACATACCTGATCATTAGATGCCGGAAAAACATCATTTTTATATTATTTCTGAATTACCACAATATGGTGCATTACATCAGTTTGCCATATTAAATTTCACTTAAACACAATTAATTATAAACCACAAGTTCACATAGATAAAAAATGGCGATTAGATCTTTCGAAATTCAGAAGGGTTTCCCCTAAGGTTTTCCCCATTTTGAAGAAACAATTTGTAGTTCAAATCTATAGACTAATATAGTGGAGACACTATATTTTAAAACAAATGCTGAATTTGAAGCACAATATCACCATCTGTGATAAGCTGAAAACACTATAATACTGTGATTAACACTACTCGTATAATAAAGCGCATTTGTTCTAAGTTTACTCCCCATGACTAATAGAATGTTCTAGAAATTACAAAACTTAAAGTTTAAAAAATTATGAATAATGTGTACACGTGTTATAATTACGAGCATATATATATAATTTATTTATTTATTTATTACTAAGGTGTTATCAATATTATTATCAATATTAATTGACAGTATTTTTATACTTATACATATAAAATTATTATAAGCTGATCTTAATTAAGATCAAAATATAGCTGACTAAATTAAGTGCATGATATTATAATATTTTTAAATACTTCGATAATTAGATTTTCAAAAATATTTGTCGTTTGCGACAACATAAGCAGGAAATGATAAACCATCAATTTCCTAAAGGCACTGAATTTAATTTAAAACAATATTTCAAAGCAATCGGCAATTATTTTTTTATTTTTAGCATTTAAAGCCAAATATTCCGGAAATGGCAATTAAAATGTTTTAAATAGCACATTGCATATATTATGAATCATATGGTTTGTTTGAGTTTAGATAAAAAAAACTAACAAATCATATAGTTATAACAAATTTATTTTGCGCACGCTGTTTGACGTTGAAGAGAAGAATTTATAATGAGCAAATGATATTTGTAAAATTTATAAAAATATTACCATTTACAAATTCCAGATGTGTTATAAACGTGCATATAAACATTTTTTATTGCATTAAGATTTGAAACGCTAATATTGTCAGTTTGGTACTCACAGAATCGTGCTCTTCACATTTTAGTTCTAAAATTTGGATTTTAGATATAATAAAATAATTTTCTAATTATCTTGGCTTTAGAATATAAATTTAATAATTTTAGCAATTTTTATTCAATAAATTTTATTAATAAACTAAAATAAAACAAAGTTATTGATCACACGACCTGTATGTCCAGTTTTCAAAACAAATGATCATCAAAATCCTTACTTCTAATTCAATAACTTGTTTTCAAAATTTTAAAAAAATCAAAAACTGATACCATGAATTTATAAAAATTATAAAGTTTTAAACTACAAAAAAATAGAATAACTTTTTCAAAATTATCAGTACAAAAACATAGTTCATTAGAAAATCAAAATGTGTGACGATAATGGAGGTTTTGTCAAAAAGTGCGTTTGCCCAAGTGACAATAAACAGAATGGAAATAATGGAAAAGAAAAAGAGAAAGAATGCCCAGATGGTAATTAAGTCAAAATTATTAAGTTGTGCATTAACGTTCTGATACATATATACTTTTGAATCTGCAGAACTAAATATTTAAATATCAGTTCTTCAGAGTTCTTTGATAAATAATTTGCAACTGCTGAATAAGCCAGTCTATTAGTTAAATCAATGAGATTTATTGCCCATGATGACAAATCTGAGTAACAAATAACTTAGTTACTCATATGATTCAACATTTTTATATTGAATTCATTATAAACATACTTTTAATTTTTATATTTATAATTTTACTGACTGATTTATGATTTTACTGAATTTCATAATTTATAATTTTTACTGACCTGTAAAACTATTGGATCCATAATGGATTTTCAATATTGCATATGCATATGTTTTATTTAGTGGCGGCAATATGCAATGGCGCAAGACCCAAATGCTCTGAAGAAAGCGTTGAAGAGAAACCAGGGACTGGTTGCTTCCGTCGACAACCTTCGGGTTTCGATACGAGAGCGATACATGCTCGACAAGAACCCGAGCGCTGGAAGAGTTTGGCTGTCGTCACCCCAATAGTCATGTCCACAACATTTAAACAATTGCAGCCGCATGAAACATCAGTAAGTATATTGAAGGGTTCTAAATATTCACAAAAAAATTAAAAAAAAGATATATAATATTCGTAATTTTGATAAAGCAAACGACTAACAATTGGTCATAAATGTAAAAACTAAAATGTATCATCACGTTTTTAAACAAAATATCTTAACTAGTAATGTATAAACTGACCTGATGTTTTGTTTTCGTAGGGTTATTTATATGGTAGAGTAGATAATCCAACACGAGGTGTTTTAGAAGAAGTTTTAGCTAACCTGGATGGTGGAAAACACGCAATGTGCTTTGCGAGTGGTCTTGGAGCCATCACGTCCGTAATATCAATGATGAATGTGGGAGATCATTTACTGTCAACAGATGATCTTTATGGAGGCACCAATAAGTTCTTTCTGTACGTTAATAAAATATTCAAAAACATACTAAATACAAATAAGAGTAAAGTGTAAATAATCGCTTATAAGTTAAGCTTTTTTCAAATGTGTCTCGAATTTCTGGAGTTAACTAACTTTCTACAAATTAGAATAAATAATTAAAAAAAATTAATAACAATCAAGTTATTCAGCATACCACTAATTAAATAATCAATCGCATCACTCTAGAAAAGTTGCCAAACGTATGATGGGTATCGAAGTTGATTTTGTGGATGCAACGGATCCAGAAAATGTTCGCAAAGGTATAAAGAAGAATACAAAGGTACGTTTTGATACAATGATCAAATATTCACAATATAATTATGAATAAAAATAAAATATATTTGGCAGATTGTTTATATCGAATCACCAACAAACCCTTTGATGAAAGTAATCGATATTCAAGCTGTCTCGTGCATTGCTCATCAGCATCCTAATGTAAGTTAATTATATCTTTTCTTAGATGTATGCGAGCATTTAATTTTAAAAATGTTGCTGAAGTAACATTTAATTTATTCAATCAATTTATAGATTATAGTGGTAGTGGACAATACTTTCTTGTCATCATATTTACAACGACCTATAGAATTGGGAGCTGATATGGTACTGTACTCTCTCACAAAATACATGAATGGTCATACTGATGTCACCATGGGAGCTGTGGTCACTACTAGCGATGAACTACACACAAAATTGAGGGACCTGCAAATTGGTATGCCATGTTATAAAAATGTAAATGTAATACGCGACGACCCGCGAGTCATCTTTATTTTAATACATTACAAACTTTTAATTGATACATCAGCACGATTCGTGATATCGTCATTCATACTTATATTATTGTAATATTAGGTTGTCAAATATCTCCCTTCCGCTTTTTTGCTCTTGGTTTATAATACAAAAAGGCGGAAGGGAGATATTTGACAACCTATTATATAAACATATGTTTATTCATACTCATGTTATAATAAATTCTAATGATGAATAATCTAAAGCTCTGAATTATTAAAAAGTGTGTAAATCGTTAATTTTCCATACTACAAATAATAAATACATTTTTATAGGTATGGGAATTGTACCATCGCCTTTCGATTGTTCTCAAGTCCTACGATCTTTAAAAACCTTATCCATGCGGATGGAGAAACACTTTAAAAGTGGAATCGCTGTTGGAAAATTTTTGGAAGAACATAAGAAAGTTGAAAAAGTATTACATCCCGGTAAGCAATGACAATATTAATATTATGTTTTATTTTAAATGTTAAACGAATAGATTATTTTCTGAAATATTTTACAAACATTCAAAGCGGTTGAACGTTATAATAACGAACCACGTGGTTCGTTACGTGATATTGTTCCCCATCAATTTATTTCCAAGCTATTAGTTGAGATAATATTTTATGCGCAAAACTTTGTAATAATAATTCGATATTTTCCGTTATGTTCTGTTAATATGAAATATTTAATCTATTTATTTAACAATTAGCTTTACCATCTCATCCACAACATGAGGTTGCATTAAGACAATGCTACGGGCACAGCGGAATGGTATCATTCTATATAAAAGGAGACGTCGAAAATTCAAAGAAATTCTTATCGGGTCTGAAACTTTTTACTATTGCTGTATCCTTAGGTGGATATGAAAGTTTGGCAGAAATACCGTAAGTTTAATTACATTCTTTAATTCACTCCATCTTAATTTTGATATCAATAACGTTTCAATTAAGACTTTAATTCGATTTTTTTAATCAATTTAGGGATTTCTCGTTCCAATTATATGCAACTGTACCGGGCGTCGATGCCCATTATTTTTAATATTTCTGAATTTTTATTTATACATAAAATGAATTAACATGGTCTATTAATGTAGAAAATCGATGCGTGATTTTTACAGGATAAACTATCTGTATCCTAAACTGATTCTCAAATAAATAATCCAAAACCCTATTGAAAATAGCTGATTTAGACTAACTTAATTTTTATTTTGACCTTTGCCAAATAAAATTCAAATATTTTGAATTATAATCATAAATAATTATTTAAATCTTGGAAAACAGTATAAATATTTGTACCAATCATTCCCACTAATAATAATTAAATTTCTTGCAGCGCAATGATGACTCACGCGAATGTGTCTCCCGAACAACGTGCCCAGTTAGGCATTACAGATACCCTTATTCGTTTATCTGTTGGATTAGAAGACATTTTTGATATAATACAGGATTTGGACCAAGCTTTGCAACTAGCTTTTGACAACTCTTAAATTATGAGTACAATATGCATAAAGCACTTATGATTATTCACACACATGTTATTCATTTATAGTCACTTCATCTGCAGTGCTTCATAAATCATAAAAACTATATAAAAACTCGTCTTTTTGTGTATATATATATATATATATATATATATATATATATATATTGGCGTTTTAATAATAGAATTTAACCATTAGATCTTTTGAATATTGTGATTACCGTCATTAAGCAGAATATCAGTTATGATTATACATTTTCTAAAAATGCTTTATATAACACACATAATATTCATTTTTCTATAATAATTTATTTGTAGGTACAATATACATATACATGAACTACCATATACAATTATATTACAATTTCAATATAACAAATGCAAACACGCACACAATATTTTTTCTGGTTTGAAAATAAATAATCTGGACATTAATTACTGAAATTGTACCTCATTGGTTTCTACATCAGACACAATTTTATTGCTGTTTTTTTATATAAAAAAATATTTTTCATTCTCATCTATTTCAATCTTGAACATACGGAGCAATTTCAGAGCACACATGCACACATCAATTCTATATTTTATATTTTCTATATTGAAACAATATGTATTACAGCAAAAAGGTTAAAAATATTTATGATTTTAAGCAATAAATATAAGCATATGTATGCAACATATACTTTTATTTTATACTTGTATATAAATTACATTAAAAAAAAGTGTGCATGATGGTTAGTCAATTGCATAATTTATTTTCTTAAATAAAAAAAAGTATCAAATATTTCAATATCGCAATTGACTTTACTATTAACATGCGGTCAGTCAGATTTCGCTCAGTAGTTTTACGCAAGTGATGTCTCATTGTTTGCCAATTTATAGAATTGCTATTCAGAATAAACTATCTTTTAACGATAAGTCAATTCCAGATTTGAATAAAATATTTTAAATAACAAACAAAACCATATAAAAATGTTACAGTATGTTCATATAGCTATAAATTTTATATATCTCTTGTATAATATTAACTTTCAATATTTTCATCTATATATCACAGATATTACAACAGCTGTAATTGGTTCAATCAATGTGCGGTGCCAATTAGATATTCTATTATCTTCTTAACTATATTAACACTAATTCATATGTATATCATTTTTTCTGCACTTATTGATTATTTACACAGCACGCGCAGACGGTATTGTATTATAAAATTGTATGATCACACAATTATGCATGTCACCTTATTTTAAAGACAATTTTTAAATTATACTGTCATATATATCAATAGATATTGCGCGAATACTTTTTTTAATGCCCAACAAAGTTTCATATACATAGAATTACAAAACATATAACAACTCATAAAAAGTATGTATAGAAAATGGAATATATTGAAAGATTAAAATAATTAGATAATTATTATTTTGAGCGATTATTAAATAAATGAAACATGCATAATTTTACGACATAAAAGACTTTATACATAATATTTACAAATCAATGCTTAAACTATAGCCTCTGGAATGATACAATTATTTATTATAAATAACAATAATCACACAACTTTGATATTATATTGTTTAGCAAATCATGAAGGCTATTATTGAAATATTCTTAAATATAACACTTAGTTTGCTTGAACATTTATTGAATGAGACCATTCGTTTACTATTCGCATTAATAATATAAACAAAATTGCAGTGTATACACATAAAATTTCAAGCTTGATGCTATATGGTTTATACAAAATCAACAACATATATATTGTAAAAATCTATAAAGACGTCAGCTTTTTTCACGTATTTTAATATATAAATTCGTATTTCAACAATGAACATACCTAACATTATATGTTATATACATCCAATCTTAAACCCCCTAAAATCTTCATAAATACTTGTAATTAAATAAAATCATCATATATGCAACATAGGTATTAAAGTTATTGCACTGTATAATGAACATACATGATTCCTCTTCATAAAACAATAAAAAGCTACAGCTAATATATATTAAAATGTTACTTGAAGTTTAGGAGCACTGTCATTGTGCTATGAAAAATATTGATATTTGTATCATTTAAATTTTAATTTATATCATCATTTACTGATAATATTAACTGTTATATTTGTTTTATGAACAATGATTATAATTATACTGAATGTTAATCTCTTTGGTAAATTTTTATTATTATCAGTCACTGAATGGTTTTATTCCATTTTGATTTCAGTTTAGTACATAATATTCTTTCATATTTTAGTAAAAGTGAATGAAAAATCAACGATTACCTATAATACTTAACAAATTCCACATCACATATAGCCTGCATGAGAAAAATATAATAGAAGTAACAGTGAGATGGATTCATGTATAAAGCAATCCATAATCCCTTATACCAGGCACCCTGTCTGACTCGAGATATGGAAATGTATATATTGCTAAATAAATAAATAAAAGTTAAAAAAAAAAAAATAATAATAATGAATTGCGCAGCACAGCGCAATATATGAATCCTACTGAAAAATAATTACATCAATAGATTCATGTGAAATGTTTTCAACATATGTTGTTCATATAATTGAATATATACTAATTTATGTATTTTTATTGTATTCAAATTTCAGTGTTAAGCATGTATTCTGCTTAACTTTGAATTTGTAACTTGTGTATAGCAGGAATAAAGTGATATAAAGAATTTGTTAAAAAAGGTAAGATTTTCCTTGCCACTTTATTATTTTATAATAAAATCATTTCAACAAAATGCATATTAATTTACCTCTCAAAATCTCCTTAATCCTGTGCATCGACATCAATGACACAAACATTCAGAAACATGCCATTTATAAGTAAAAGAAAAACGGCAGTGACAGACGAACATCAGAACATCAATACTTTCTCATAAATTTTCAGACAAAAATCCTAAAAGATAAAATAATAAATTCCAATATTTTGAATGTAATTAGCACAAAAAATACCTTATAGAGGTAATATTATCATATAAAATATTTGTACTTACATAAAAAACTTGTAAAAAATTGAAACAAGTCTAGAAAAGTTTTAACAATAATTAAAATTTAATTATTCCTTCTTAATTAATAATATAAACACAATCTACTTACTTGAAATGGCTATCACTGTGTTGTTGGATATTGAAACATAGTAGGAGGCGGTATAATACCGGACCCGGATATTACATTCGTATTCGCAACTATAGATGACGTAGACGTCATAATTGTGTTTGGAACAGGTGTTGATATCAAGTTTTTATTTGGTTTTGGTGGCAATCTAGGTGTGGTTTCACCAGGTGAGAAACGTGGTGAAGTGCTAATAATGAAAGAAATGTAAAAATCAGTCTTAAGTTTGAAAATAAATTATGCAGCAGTCATATTTACGTATAACTAAGTATTTGAAGATATGGATTTATACAAAAGTTCAGTACTGTTGTCACTAATTATGATAGTATGAATACATGCATACATACTTCGGTAATGGGCCATTAACACTTTGATGCCTTCTGCTTGGTATAGGAACAATAGACGTTACAGATGCTGATGAAGTATCTTGTAATGGTTTAGATTTCATTTCTACTTCATTTAATGTCATAGAAGATATAGAATTTGTTGAACTTATAGAATTTATTAAACTGGAATCCATAGCTGAATTTCTTCTCATTAAAATAGTGCTTCTAAAAAATAATGTCATGTACAATAAATAAATAAATAAATAAATATATATATATATATATATATATATATATATATATATACAATACTTCA